TCTGGGTATTTGTTTCCCAAAGAGGGTTGACGTCAGGCAGGCGGCTGGTTGTAAAAATATAGTCAAAACCGCGTACAACATGATTCATGTTGTGCCGACCCCACCTAGGTGGGATAGGGGCAGGAGGATGGTGATGACTTGTATACTTGTCCCTCTATTTTAAAAGTTCGCGCTAAACGAAATCATTTGAATGGAGCTATTGCACTTTCGGATGTTGGTTAAAAATGTCCAGATGGTGAATGATTATTTCTCAAAAGATTTTTTATTGGCTGTGGCGGCTCCTCAATATTAGGGAGACTAACTGGTCCAGAAGCACAGCACATACCATTTGGTTCATCGACCCATTTTTTGGCAGAACACTTAGAGCAAATCTTATTCATGGCTCCCATTTGGACGGAAAACTGTTGAGCTTAATGCATTAAAGCTGATCTGTTACTGTGAGCTAAAAGTCGATTACGAACTCTAATCGTTGTCTTTCTCTCTAATGTCGTAGGCGTTGGGAACGCTCAGAGATCGATTCCCTAGTGTGAATTTGTATATTTATATTATTTTGCTCTTCAAGCCGCTCTAGTTGGCTCTCTCCGACTTGCAAGACGATTTTCGCTAGTTGTATATAAAATCTTTACTAGTCAATTATTTACCACTCACAGATTAGAGATTTTAATAAAACTGTATCTTATAGAGATTATAGCAGCTCAACAGCAGTAGTATCATTCGTGTAGTTTTTATAGTCTGATTTTATTTCGTGTACAAGATGTCTCTTGTTTTATACTCCCTATTTGCCGATTCGGGACTGCAATATACTTCTGAACTAGTTTCAATAAAATACCAAAGTAGCATCTGTCCAGCAGCATGGAATGAAATATTTTATTTCGCACACTTTACATAAAATAATAAGGGAAAGATTGTATTTTATATAACAATGCGAGCAGTTTCTGGTTGTGTGGTTTCTTAGAAATTTTCTCTTCATCTGGAAAATGTCAACTGTCTAATAAGACCAACCCTCTAGAAACACAATGAACGACACCTACTTAACTTAGAAATGACACAATTCAAAAATAACTCTTGCGTCCTTAAATATTACTTCTTTACTTTACTTCTCCAATCTTCAATCTCGAAATTAGAGCACGCTGAAGGAACCATCTTTTTTAATATTCACTACCAGTGGAAAAGCTATTCGCGTAAAGAAAACTTTTTTGAATAAGTATTTGAATAAATTTCCCGTCGCCGCTACAATGACCAAAGTAATTTCTAATCGCAAATGTTCGGGTGAGTCGTTCTGAAACTTGGAATGGTAACGAATACAACCTGACATTATGAGATAACCGTTTGACTAAGGGTTATAAGAAGCCGCAAATAATTGCTTCAAACGTTTCAAATTTTATTGATATCTCCCTCAAAGGCTCGGTCCATTTAACTAATGTAATGTTAAGGCCCTTAAAGGGCCTGAAGGCTAAACGAACGGACCGTTGCGACGAATTGTAATACGAAAATTACAGGGTTGTGTTTTGTGATAGTTGTAATGAAAAGGATTACAGCTTTTGGCTTCGGTATGGTAAAGATGTTAAATCCAGCGTAAAGTTCAATCTAGTATGCTATATTTGGACTGTTAGGAAAATTTTGCTACTCCCCAACTTGGTGTGTATGTTAAATGTAATGTAAAATAAGTTATTTTAGCTTATGCGTATTTCGAAAGTGAATCGAATTTGACATACATAACGTCTCCGGTTGTATCTATATTACTTTGTAGCTTTTATCATTCGTAACGTCTTACCGAAAACTAAATTATTTATAATGATGGTTATATCCTTAATTTTAGAGAGTCATTAAATTGAATGAACAGATTGGCGTAGTTCTAGGCATTACTCTTTACTTAAAAACAAACAGAAAAATGTTCTTCCTCCTAATAAACTTACTGTACATAAGACGTTAAAGGCAATAAGTTTCCAGCGGCCTATGATTTCTAAATAATTAATGCTGATTAGAAGATCAACTGCTGGGCAACGGCCTCGTATACAGAGGATATCAGGGCGTAGTCCACCACGGGGCCCCAATGCGGATTGGCGGAGTTCACATATGTTCGAAAAATATTTTTTTTGTTATTATTTTGAAAATATGCAGGTTTCCTCACGATGTTTTCCTGCATCGCGGAGCACGTGATAAGTCAGCACTTAAAGTTAAAAACTTCATTGGAGCAGGCACCGGGGATCGAACTCAGGTTGCTCGAGTATATCTTCCTTGTATGTATATATATATATATATATATATATAATGTATATATATATATATAATCGGAATCTCGGAAACGGCTCCAGCGATTTTCATGAAATTTAGTATGTGCGTAGATTAGCTAGCTAGGTTTCATTTTTCGAAAATGTCCTTTTATCCTTGTTTTCAGGGAATGAAAAATATCATAAATTTCGCCGAAAAGAAATGTTATAATAGCTCGGTCGGTAATCGGGCGGCCCCGAAACAGAAGGCCGTGGTTAGTGTCACGATCATTAACATACTTATTTTTTTACTTTTTTTCGATTTCAGATAATTGCTTTCTTTATTTTTTATTTTTTGTCCATCCAGATGATTTTGTTCTTTTTTCCCTTTTTTTTAAAGTTCTTTCTTTTGTGAAAAACACCAGTTCATATTTTCTTATTATTGCGTCGGTAAGATCGAAAAATATTATACATATTTCATTACTCAGTAATTTGTATCTAAACGTAGTTTCCAAAACACACGATTTACCAAAAAAAAAAAACGAGCAAAGCTCGGTCCTCCAAGTACTTGAATTAAAGGCGAGCGGCCGGACACGAGCTATCATGGCTCATCACTCACGGCTCACTCGATAGAGGGCACTGTGATCGAGCTACTGTAATATGATAAGCTCAATAACAATTAAACGCTGCCTAAAAGGTTATATTCTAACAAAAATAGTTACCAGACTCCATAGAGTAAGTAACTCCTTCATTGGGCGGTGTATACGCTTTTACAACAAAATCCCAGTAAATGCGCAAAAGCTGCCTCTTAACAGGTTTAAGAACTTTATTAAAGGAAAACTTTATAAAAAGGTTTATTATAATACAAATGAATACATTAATGACAATAACCCCTGGGAATGAGTTGATCGCTCCCAAAATATTTCTAAAAGGAAAAAAAATCAGTTGTACAATATTTTAATTTTTTTTAAGGAAAAAAAAATGAATTACAAAAAAGAGGATACCTACTATAAGAGTTCTAACGATTTTACCTTGACCCTAATATTTTAACTATTACTGAACTTGAATATTAACAACTATTATAACGACAAGCAGCACTAGTGGTTATGTAACCGTCCGGGAACGCGGCCGAAATCCAAGTGACCACCGCTCCATGCCACCATGTGTCGCTTGACTCGAGTAGACAACGTCATATCTAGTTTACAGTGTTGCCAGTGCCAACACTACGAAGTTTCTTTCGCCTGTTTCTTCTCCGCTAGAGGAACCTCATTACGAAACGTTGGTAGATTTAAAAAAAAATATGACTATCGATGGATGAAATGTAAGTTTCTTGTGTCGATGAATAAATGATTTTGATTTTTTTTTAAAATACCGATGTGATAATTGCACAGCCTCTCAGCGAACTTATTCAGTACCAAATCTGGAGGTAGAAATTTGATGTAAAGGTGTTAGTTAAGTCTTGTCGTTTTCCATTGGGCTCAAATAAGGTTGTGATTTACACATTTTAAAGAATCCGAAAGCCTTGAAGCAGAATAATCGAAAATTGAATAACAAACGGGAGTTTTAATTTGAGCATCTAGACATCTATACACAAAAATAAAGACGAAGTGTCTGTTTGTAATATTAAAATAACCACTTTTTATTAAATGGTGATATTGTATACACAGTGCATATACCAAATTAACATTTCTTACAATTTTTGCCTGTCTATCTGTCTATTTGTTCTGGCTAATCTCTAAAACGGCTGCACCATTTTTGACGGGACTTTCACAGGCAGATGATCAGAGATCTGATGTAATAAAAAGTAAAATATGCTACTTATGTTTTAGAAATTTGATTTATTTTAAATTACACGCAGACGAAGTCGCACTGCTAGTCAAAAATAAATCACGATAAAATCATTTCAAGTGATAAAAACTTAATTTTATTAATTGAAAGGCATTAAACAATGTTTACGTGGTACTTCAATACGTGTCAATTGCTCATGTTCTATGAAAGCAAAAGTATATCGCGTCCAAGCTAACAGTCAATTTTAACCGTGCTTATGTAAGCTCCCAAATAGTCTCATGAGGCTACTCTCAGTCCTGAGAAGGATGGCGGTTTTACTTATCCCTAGCCACTATTGATCTTGCAAGTTGGCTCGTGACTGAAAGTTTACGGGGCGAGTTTTGAAATCAGCTTAGCGTAACAAATGCCGGTTGGTTTATGCAATGTATGTTCTGTTCTGTACATATTATGAAATAACTACAACATTACTTCAGATTGGCGGTAACACAGTTGCGTTTGATACTTAATTGCTATTCATAAACCATTTACTCAGCGGTGAATAAAATCGTCTTGCCATATTTTTATATGTTAGGACGTGGCAATCGAGCTAGCGATGCCTGCAACCCTAAGAGTGTTCCAAATGTCCATGTGCTGCGGTTATCATTTAAAACCACGCGAACCGCAAGCTCCTTTGCCACTTTCTCATATAAAGAATATGTGCGTGGAGTCGCTCCGAGAGGAAGAAGTGAAACTTCGAATGCCACGCATTCACTCTCGCTCTGTCTCTTTCTATTCCCCCTACCCAGGAGCGTTGAACGTTTTACGCAACAGTGCTTTGGAGGGGGTATGCCTCCATCAAGGAGTACTTTTATTTTATATCTGCCCTCCATGGTCGCGTTAAACGTTTAACGCAACCTTGTTGGAAGTCGCATCAGAAGTTTCACTTCAAAAGAAACGGACTGTTTGTTTATATATCTAGTTATGTAACCAATACAAAATGAGGCACGTATAAAATAACATTACCCGGTTTGCACTTAGCTGTCAATGGGCAGGAGCAGCGAGCGCCGTGGCATGAGTCGCAGTTGCAATTGTCCACCGCAGCAGTCCACGGGGGCGACACCGTCGCTTCTGGGACCTGAAGGAAACGGAAAGAACTCATTTGAAAAAATGTAGTCATAACTTTTGCGCTGGCTGTCGAAGTGTAGGACGACCCCACTAGATGGAGTGACGACCCCACTAGATGGAGTGACGACCCCACTAGATGGAGTGACGGCCTGTGCTAGTGTGTGGGAAGTCGATTGATGTAGGCGACTTAGGCGGTTCCTGTTAGTGTGTGGGGGAGGTGTATGTCCAGCAGTGGACTCTAACAGGTTGAAATGATTATGATGAAGATGATTATAAATTTTGTGCTGTAATTTAAACAACGATTACATGGATAAGGCATATGTATAGATATATAATATAAACAGGATAGTAAATTTTCTACACTATTATCAGTAGACCATTTAGGTCTCCCCTATGCTACAGTAGCACAATTCTAGCCATGTTTTGAACCCTTTTTGTACATATTATTGTGGACACTTTCACTTAAACACTAATGAGATACTACCTCTTATATCTACTCTTCACAGATGGAAAAACTGTTTCGGTATAAGACTCTTTGCAATGACACAATCTATGAATGAAACAAGAAATGGCCCTAATCTAACCCAACTTTCACACACGAGTACAAATTTATATACAACATTATTTTTATTACATTACACACAACTTATTTCCGTACTTATGGTTACTTTGAGTTTTCATAGTACGATAGCGTTGTTTATATTAGAGCAGACTTTATCCATCCAAATACACAAACGTATTAAGTATACTACTTATATAGATAATCAATACCGGTTCGATAACCTTTAAGCGGATTGAAGCGGAGCATGGCTAGAGCTTGTAAAGCCTAATACGAAGATGGGCTATGAATATTTCATTAGTTGGAACATTTTTATTCCAAATACAGAGTTGTGGTTTTCCACAATTTGGCTACATTACAAAACTAAAGGTGTAATTTTAAAAATTATTACATAGGCAACATCCCTAAAATTTAAATTTATTTTCCTTACCTTGTTTTTAATAAATATGTCGGGCAACATTTTTATACATCGTTCTGCACACACAACTAAGCAACGCTCTTACTATGGGTACTAGATAACTGATAACGGTGCGTTTTATTTCTAAATTACTAGATATCACGGTCTTAAATTGTATCAATTTTTTTTTTGTTTATTCCAACACAAACACATACTAACCTTCTGCTCTAAGCTGGGGCCGAGTGTGGTGACTTTCTGGGTTCTCGCTTCTAAGCCTTCTCCCTTCAATTCCTCGTCACTGATGATGTTAAGATCGACTTTGCTGACGCCGTCTTCCATCAAACTCTTGAGCCCATCGATCTCTTTCGACCTCTCCGCCGTGTAAGTGTAGTCTGCTTTAGTGGCGTTCGGAACGGAGGCGGCGGTCGTCGCCCGCCTCTTGCCCGTCTCTTCTGAATGCTTCTCGCTTACGACAGTCTTACTAACTCTACTGGACGGCGCTACTTCTAGCTCGGCCGAGAAGGAGACGTCCTTTTGGTACAGCACGTCCAGTTGGGTGCCAGACGACGCTTCCGTCGATTTCGTCGCGTTGATCTCTGGAACAAGAGATTGGAGTTAGACCGAGTGATCGCTTCATTCGCTTATAAATGATTGACAATCGGATTGCTTAGCGGAATGTCTACGCTGTTGATACTGGCACTTTTCTAAATTAAAAAAAAATGTAAAGGAACGTTTGCGTGTTAAAGGCTATCGTAATATTAGTTATTATTAAAATAATAACACACCCAGGAAATTAATTGACCGCTCCAGGCTCTTTCAAGTGGACCCTAATGCATTGTAAACATGTTTCTTGTCAAAAAATGACCCACTGAATTCTCAGGTCAGTGGTTTTTATCTTCCGAACCGGTCAGTGGTAGCGTTTTGACAATCAATAAGTAAAGGTAAATGCTTCTATATTTGAATTTGATTGATTTTGCCTGCGGGTTGTCAGTTCGAGCTCGGATGCGGGATTATTGTACCCTGATATTTTTTTTTATGTGAAAAGTTGCCAAACGAGCAGACGACTCACCTGATGGTAAGTGAATACCGCCGCCCATGGACATTTGCCACACCCGAGGGTTACAGATGCGTTGACAACCTTTTGAAAATTGGGCTCCGGCTACCTCACTCACCAGACGAAACGCGAAAGTATTTGTCATACTTTCACTTTACGCTGGTCTTCTGTGAGGTCGTGGTACTTAATCGGACGGGCCTGCCCTTTCGTGCAACAGCCGAGGCTGCTGCGTGGCCCTACCACCGTGATATTTTTGAAAAAGAGCAACTGTTGAGTTTCTTGCCGGTCTCTTCTCAACAGAAACTGCTTTCCGAACCGGTGGTACCTTACGAACCTATATACATAATTTTTTATGTAAAATTTGACGATTCATAAGAGCGCGCAAGCGTCTATTTAAATTGATATATTTTTGATTTTGATTTTGATTTTATTAATTACATGACCTACAGATAAAATTTACGAATGTGGGTGTTTGTCTTTATGAGATTTTTTATGTAAAATGTATGCCAATAATATTATTTTTTTCTACTGATAGCCATAACAGCTATATTTCATTGCAGTGGAAAAACCAAAAGGTAGAGAAATATTGTGTTTTCAAAGAGATATGAAGTCCACCAACAAGCATGATTATCCTATGCTTTAACAGGAGGCGTTGACGAAATAATGACGGATCAATGAAATTTAAATGACATCGTCATTTCCCGACCCGAAAATTCTAGAAAGTTAAGTTAATTTATAAATTTGTTAAGTTAGGTGTTGAGTACAGAGAGTAAGTTATTAAGCTGTTCCTGTGAGGGTAACATGGACATATCTTAAATAAATCCTCGATAGAAAGATTAAGTTAAAAACCTTTGCTTTTCGTCAATAGCATCAGCTAACTTATTTTGAAAATTCATATGCATGAACGAACAATTCCCGACAATAAGAGCGGTTTATCAAGCAACGAATGCTACTTAACCGTAAAGTTTCTTCGCGTTTTAAAATTCCGCGACGGTTATTTAAGTTTTCGCGAAACTTAACTCGAGTGACGGACGAATCCTTCCTCGGTCGGCCAGAGCTCAAGTTAGCCCGCGCAAACTTAATGCGCGAACTTAATCCGCGAATAAATTCCTCGAAGTCGACTGAAGTTGTATTAGTTTCGAATGGCGAAGAGCACCTCCTTCGAATTCACTACCGAGAACTATTTCATCGTTTCATCGTACTTTATTGCGCAGTTTCGATAGACAATATTTTCGTGCAACAAACTGGCCTGCGATTTGATTATAAGATTGATATTGATTATAAGGCAGATTACATTTATCGTTATGTTTTAATTTCATGGTGAGGTTTTTTAGCTATTGTTATTTTTTTCCCATTACTATTATATTTTAGTTTTCAATACTTCAAATTTTAAAAGTGTTCTGTCAGTCTGTGTAATGTCAGGCTGGGGTAGAATATCAGTGTTGTGCACAATGTGTGTAACAAACCTGAACCCCAGACATTTTAGTCTAAAATCTGACTAATATAATTGTATTTTAAATTACTTGTACCTATATTATTTGTGATTTTAGACCAATAAAGATTTATTATTATGGGGGGATATTCATTTGTTTTCTCGTCTGGTTGGGTTTATAAATAAAAATAAAAATATAGATACATATTGCATCTATAAAATAAATATTATGAATAAAAATAAATATACAGATATAAATATTATATATAATACATAAATAAATAGGACCCAACCAGACGGAAGCCCTCGGCAGGGGAGACCAAACGGCCGAGGGTTAGGGTGAGAGGGAGAGAAACCGGCGGACGATGCGGGCGGTATCGAGGAGCACCGCCTTCTGCATTTGAGCTTGGAGCGTTCCGTCCCGGAGTCCCAGTCGCCTCAGATGTTCGGAGAGGCTGACTGAGATTAACCCATTCGCAGACACGACTATTGGGATAATTTCGGTCGGCACACCACCCCACATGTCGGTCACCTCGTGAGCCAGGTCCAGATACTTCGTCTTCTTATCTGTTTCGGCTTTCACGAGGTTCTCGTCATATGGAATTGTAATGTCGACCAAAAATACCCGCGACTGTGCCCAGTCCATCACCACGATGTCAGGTTTGTTCGCGACAATCGTCCTGTCCGTGATAATGAGCCGGTCCCAATAGAGCCTGGCGCGGTCATTTTCGAGCACGGCCTCCGGAGAGTACTTGTAGTACGGCAGTTTCCGTTCCACGAGTCCGTATTTCAGAGCGAGCTCCTGGTGTATAATTCTGGCTACTAGGTTGTGTCTATGCACATACTCAGAGTTAGAAAGCATGGAACAACCGGAGATAACATGCCGTAGCGACTCCCCGGGATGGCGACAAGTTCGACAGATGTCGACGGTGCCATCCCTTAGGTTGTATCTCCGATAGTTGTTCGTCTTAATAACCTGATCCTGTATCGCACAGACAAAACCTTCGGTTTCCCCAAAGAGGTCACCGAAACGTAGCCAGTTAAGGGAGGCAACGGTATCTACGAAAGGCTCGTGTAGAGCCTTGTAGAACCTCCCGTGGAGCTCTGCGGGAATGGATGTCGGGGCGGCGGAGAAGTTCCGACGGTTGCGTTTAACCATTTTGCCAATGACCGCGTCGATGAGAAGTGATTCCTTGGTTCCGCGACCACCGCCCCGACATCCATTCTGAGCACGAGACATAATCCGATTCATATTAATATGGCGGGTGATTCTCATGCTCAGAATAGATGTCAGTGTCTTATAGATTGTAGGTAGACACGTTATGGGGCGGTACTTACTCGGGTCTGTGGTAACCTGATCTTTAGGAACCAAATGAGTGACCCCAGTAGTAAAGAGGCTCGGGAGCGACCTCTGATCGAGAGCCTCTTGGAACTGTCGGGCGAGCACAGCATGACATACCACGAACCCCTTCAGCCAGTAGTGATGCAGTCCGTCGAGTCCCGGACTTTTCCAGTTCGGGGCTCTACAGACTGCCTCAGATACGTCGTCGGGTGTTATGACGACGGGGTCCATGGGTGTAATGTCTGCACATTGGCTCGCCACGACTTGTGTCCAAGGGCCCTCGCTGTGGTCTACGGGCTTTGACCACAGGCTGCGCCAGAAGGCGACAGTGTCTGCCTGGTCCGGTCCTTGGCTCCCGTTCCAGAGCTCATTGGTCGCTCCAAAGATTTGTAGAGCCTCTTTTGGTCACTCTGGAAGAGGCGATTCTGGCTAAACCGCGCCGTCCTCTCGGTATATCTCCGAATCCGCTTCCCCCAAGCAGCGATCCTCTGCTTCAGGTCATCTATGCGCTCCGTTAATTTTTGCGTAATATCCGGCTGGGACAAGTTGATGTTTGTCCCAGCGAACGCCATCCTAACGGTGCGCACAATTCTGGGCCTATTATTGCCCGACTTGAAGCTTATCAGCCTGCCGATGATGGCCCTTACCTTTGCGATACGGTCCTCAATTCTTCTTCTCCATGCTGGGATAGTGCTACCTGGTCTGGTAGCACGTCCAGCCTTGGGAAGTTTGGCGCCAACGATTCGGCATACTGCCAGTGCAGCGCCAAAGAGAATTGAGTCCGTATCGCAAAGATCCCGGCTAGCTTCCAAATAGGTTGCCAGCATCGGGTTAAGAGACCTCACGACAGACTGACTCCGCTTACTTAGGGGTATGCGGGGGAGACGTGGTCGATACTCGAGAGGCGTTTCGCGCACCTCCAGAATTGCCTCCTCCAATATACTTCTCATCTGCTCTATTTCTTGGGCGACTATTCCATCATCGCACGAATCTGCAGGAGCCGGGGGGTAAGACGCGGCCTCCGCTTCCGCTTGTAACCCTGCGAGATCCGAAGGTTGCGGGGTCGCATTTCCGGCTACTGCATTCTCATCCGATGAGGGAACAGCCTCACGTCGAAGTCGTTCGAGCTCGGCATCATCAAATATTTTTGAGCGCATGATGTACCGAACTCTGTCTGCTAGGTTTTGCTCCGTGACGGTTAAAGATGGCTCCAGCTCAGCAAAAAAGCGAGGCATCCTTGCCCGATACGCAAACCCTCCAGTTTCACTCCCTTTTGCCCTAAAATACGCCCGCATTGCGTTCTGATTCATTTCAGACGTCCAGCGCAAGCGGCGTATTCCACCAGCGGCGGGTGCCGATTGCTGGATCCGAGAGGATCCTGTCGACACCAAGCCGACTGGTGGGGATGATGGATGCGAGGTACTGCTTGGTGGTCGTGCAGTACCCCGCGCTCGGCTGGCGTCCCGCATGCTGCCACGTCCAGCGCCAGCTCCAGACGCGCCCTGGCGGCCCCCAGGCAGCGGCCCTATGCGCGTTCTTCGATTTTCCATCATCCATTTTAAGGTGGGGCGTCGTTTAACGGAAGATGCCCCCAGACCGGCACCGTATTCTGGGATATGGCCATATGCACAGACGGGCCTATGCGCCCTCACTTTTGCCGAGGCACGGTGCAAACACCATTGGCAAGGCGCAGACTGATTGCGCCGACGTAACAGTTCTGTCACTTGAACTGTTACGCCGGTGGGCGATGGGGTCGTCACTTCCCTAC